AATCGACAGCTAGTCAAAAGGAATCCGCCGTCGTCTTCTGGTGGAACCGACCTTCGAATCTCTTCACCCAACACTTATTCGAAATGAATTTTAAGCCAGAAACATATCGTCTAGATTACATTGCACTATTTTTATCACTATAAAGCTTTTTATTTGCAGATATCAAAAGGTGAGAGTTAGATGCTTGTGTAAGTCTTTTTTTTAAGCTATTAAAATAGGGGTTTCATACTCGTTAAACATCCATTTTCCTCTATATCACCACTTGAATGAAGTAGCTTGTTATCTAGGCTTATAGTCGGAGTCACGCGTTTGAGGAGGAGAGGTGTGCATAAACAGGAAAGATTTATTTTATTTGAGTTATCCCGAGTAATCTTATCTCCCTGCATAGTTCATTTGCATTAGATTTTTAAGTACGTCTATTGTTTATAAGAGCTTTCACATATCCTTATGCTCACTCTCTGCGCAGAGAGAAGATTACTTATCTGGCTGTAGATTATATTTTAGCTTTTTTATTATTACTCTCATATTCTCTTAACTGATTTAGGTTTTTCTATATTGCTATTACCATCATTTTTTATTTGAACCACACACCTTTTTAGCGCTATTGCAAAGATGAAAGCCAAGACACACTAGATCTATTTGATCTGATGTCAAAGATGCTCGAATATGACCCCGCTGACAGAATAAGCCTGGCTGCTGCCATCCAACATCCTTTTTTTCTCAATTTGCCCGCAAATCAACGCTTGTCTTATGCACCTTATTCAGGCTACTCTCAAACTTCTGGCCGTGGGCACAGCCATGGCAATAGCAATAGCAATAACCACGGTCAAAATAACACTTTTAATAATCACCAAAATCAGCAAACTGGAGGGCACCCAACAGGTGTGATTGCTCCTGGAAATGATAACAGTAGTAGTAGCGGCAGCAATAGTGCAGGTGGGCCGGATGGGCAAATTAGAGCTCGCCATCCACATGGAAACAATAACAATGATCAGACTGGCTATGACTTGAATCAGGTCGGAAGCATCATTTTGGGTGGCAGTTCTAGAGTTGGCCCGCGTAGAAAGGAGTCTCGTCGAGACTCAGACCTTGAAACTGTGCGATGAGATTAAACCGTGTCAGAATGCTTGGCTGTGTTTAGTAATATATTGGCCAATATTTCCACTTTATCTCACCTATTTTCCGATTTGACCACAGACTAATATAACTGAGGTAAAACAGAGAGTCGATCAAGTAGGAGCTTCTTGCTTTCAAACCATTTTGCGCACAACATACATCCGCTGGAACACTGTTTTCTGACTATCGCCACCTCCAATTTTCCTGATATTTTGACCTATGATCGCTACTCGTTTCATCCTCTTATCCCAAAGACGGATTCTTTCATTTTTTGTTACTTCCTTTCGCCTGCGCGATCCGTGTACACACGTTTATGGGCCTCCATATGGAATTACCTACGTTATGCTTTGTTCTTCCTTATTCCTCTTCAATTTATTAATTTCTACGCATTCTACTTTTGTGTGCATTTTTTGTTCGCCTGCAAGGTGAAATTATTGTTGGCATAAGATTGTACTGGCAAACAGACATTTTTGTATTCAATATGGTTTTCCGTCTACTTTTTTCATGGTGCTATTCATAATTCATTTTTGTACATCCTGATTAGATCCTCAATTCCTATACTCCAAAATTCACTCAATGGTCGCTAGTTGTAGCAGTATATATATATATATGGGAGTATGCAGGCCGCACTCGCTTTTCCAGAAATCACATCTTCGTCTTCATGCTCCAGATCATCTGTACATTTAAAAAAAAATTGATTCGCCAAATCCCTCTGACCCTTCATGCCCTTAACCAGGATCCGCTTCTCCTAAGACTTGAATTGGCTTCGACAGCTTTTATTTAGCTCTAACTGCTCTTTTGTGCTTCATTCAGGCTGAAAATGCATTTCCATGTCTAGGCCAAGATGTCGATTACTTTTGAACCGGTTCACACAGCAGCGTACTTGTGTGCGTACATTCATACACAGATACATAGAACTGCTTTCGATTGCGAAAAGGATCCTCGATTGCACAGTCCAATGAACTTCCAATGACCCGTAAATATTCGACATCACAAAACAACGTCACCTGTGAAGTCTCATCAAATTTTCATGAAAGCTTTGTAATTGCCGCTGTACATTCTTATCACTCACTTTAATGCTACTTTACCCACTTTGCACATCCTTCTTGCTCGTCATGCTTTGCCTTATATTTTTGTCCCCATTGTAAGCCTTGTTTTCACATCTCTCTCTCTCTCTTGATTAGATTATTTTTTTCATTTTTGGTGCATAATTGTAATCTCGACTGAGGTTACATATATGTTCACTTCTTTTTCTCTTCCTTGTTAACTAATTCAGAATCATGTCAGACGATTATTCGTATAGGCCATATCTTCGTTTTATAGCACCGATTCGCCATTTTTCTCAGATTTTTCCTAAATACAGGCTTTTCTTGGACGCGAAATGATTTATTTCTGCACTAACCTCTTCAGGGCTGATTTATTTCTTCCATGGTTTCAGATATCTGAAATCTACCACCCGGCACTCATTTTTTCATTCACTCCCTTCAACGCTCCTGGCTGTCCTCAGCGCTACGTCATATTTCGCTATACTTCATTTTTATTGATCTCACACCCTCTACTTCCCATAATCGCATTTTTT